GCTAGGACATGCTCAATAGTATAAAATAGATTCTCTCGTTATTAAATAAATCAATTAGGAGCATCTCAATCTGGCGTAGTGGCACGGGATGATGATTAGTGAGAAGCGTGTGCGTCTCGGGTTCCTCGTTAAGAGTTGGGGTTTAAGGATTTATTTTCTGGCCGGATGTGGGTTCAGTTCACTTTTAAAAAATTGGGAATATTGAGGTGTATACAGGCTCTGAAAGCTCTGCTCTATGTCACCGTGTACTATGTCACGGTCTCACGGAGGCTATATGTTATGTTGCAATGTTACTTCAATAAGTAACAACATTGCATTGGTTCGTTTTATTTGACGTCCTTTACATGTCCATTCATTTCAATTTTCCCTTATAATTACGAAGTTAACTTATCAAATCGCGTTGTGTTGACCGGCAGCTTCAGACGGACCCAAGCTACAGTGTCAGTCATCTTATTTACATTTCTGTTGTTGTTTCTTATTAATTCTTAGCATTGTGAGAGTGGTAATATAATAGCATTAGTTATAGCGTACGAATCTACTATGAAGATAGTGATAGCAAGCTTTCATCACAGGCTTATCTAGATAAGCTTCGATGGTTACTTAAGGAGCATCTACGCTTTATTTTAACAATACTTTGGCTCTCTCGTTCCTCCGTATTGTATGGGTTAAGAAGATAGGCTGAGTTCTTTTTTGAAAGTTCCCAACTTATCTCTCTTATTATCCACTTACATGCTTTCTAAACTAATAAATAGTGTATTATATATATATATATATATATATTACTTTAAAAGATCTTATTAATTTATCTTTTTTTAAAAAATAAAAGTTAATTAATTATACGCTAATGAGTTGCTCCATCTATGTGCACGAGAGATTAGCTCCAACCCTAAGTAACAACACAGCCTTATGCAGTTTAGGATAGTTGGTATTTCCTTCGTTTTATATTATAAGATGATTTGATTTTTTTTCAAACTATTTTAAGTATGATTAAGTTTATAGGAAAAATATTAGCGATATCTACAACCCCAATTAGTTTTACTAAACCTTTTATATTATAATTGTTTTGTATTAAAACTATTTCTATGCTTTTTCATAAATTAATAGAACTTTAGTTAGGAAAAAAATCAAAAACGTTTTCTAGTATGAAAGGAAGGGAGGAGTACATGTGTGATGGGCAGGAGGAAGACGGTGTCCTATGGGCAAAATTTGCTACAGGACATCCAAAAAACGTGTAATTAGTTGAAAGACACCGCAAAAACGCTTATTTGCTATAGGGCAAAAAAAACTAGTAATTAGCTGCTGGACACTCGCAGGATTATTTTATTATATCCGGAGAAATTGGAGAGAAAAACAACTGTGTAAGTACGATTTTACCCTTCAATTTTTTTTTCTTTTTCTTTTTTCACTATCCTTCTCTACTCCTCCTTCCTTATTCTTCTCTCTCTCATTCTTTCTCTCTTTCTCTTTCCGAACCCGCTGATGACCGCGCTCCAGCTGACCACATTGGGCGCGACCGTGCCGCCGATCTGCTCCATCTGGGCGAGCACGTCCAATGCCTCGTCGCACAGCCCAGCTGTAGCGTAGCTGGTGATCAGGGTATTCCATGTCACGATGTTCTTCTCCGTCGCGTCCCTGAAAGCTTTCTTGGCGTTGTCCATCTCCCCGAGCTTGCCGTACATGCACACCAGCGAGTTGGTGATGAACACGTAGCCATGGATGACGCCCTTCATGACGCCGCAGCCGTGTGTCGCCTCCCCTTTGGCCAATGCAAGGTCGCCGGCATAAGGGCACGCCGAGAGCGCCACGGCCATGGACTCGGCGTTCCCCTCACAGCCGCTCCTATTCATTTCACCGAACAGTTGAAGAACATCAGCGCGAGAGCGAGGTCCCCGCTTGAACGGCCGAGGTGGGCGCGGAGGAGGCGATTCCATGGGATGGCGCTGGTGATCGGAGGGTGGTGGTGGATCGGTTGGTCGCCGGCCACCGCCCCGCCGTGTCCGCACCACATGGCCGACCTCGCCTGGGCACCCATCCACACCGCCGCTGCGCTGCTCAGCCCGAGGACTTCGCCCTCGTCCGCCGCGTCGGCGCCGGGGCGCCTCGAAGGAGAACGCGGCGTCGCCACCGCATGTCCAGCCGCCGATTCAGGAAGACTTCCAGTCGAGTACCTGCACATAATAGGCCGTAGACATTGTGCGCCGCCCACTCGAGTTCCTCTCGGCCGTCGCCGCCTCGCCGCTGGCCTGCTGAACCTGTTGCCATCGCCGGCGTGTTCCGGCTGGTCGACGCGGCGCTGCGCAGGGAGAGAGAGAGGGGGGGGGGGGGGGGGGCCTTACATTTGAGCTTACATGTAGGATCCACGTTGGATTCATTTGAGCCAAGGGGGTAAACTTGTCTTTAATGATTGTTTCTCTCTTCAATTTCTCAGGATATAATAAAATAATTCCGCGGATGTCTAGCAGCTAATTATCAGTTTTTTATAGTGTCATATAGCAAATAAGCATTTTTATGGTGTCTCTCAGCTAATTACACCTTTTTTTGGATGTCTTGTAGCAAATTTTGCCTATGGAATATGGGAGAGGTTTATTATACAATTGAGTAACAACCAAACGACAAATCCCGCATGTGATCTACACTCGCGCTCACCCAGCATTAGTCCGGCATGAGTTTTGGCTGATTACCAAAACCACTAGCATAGAGAATCCTATTGTGTTTTATTATTATCTTTGCCTTTATCGTAGCAGTAGAAAAAAGTATAGTACAATAATGTATGGTCAGATTAGCGTGGATATTTCACCTCATCTGACAATTGTAAACAATGAATAGGGATGAAATCAGACAAGAAAAATATTTGGTGTGATTTACCTCTAAATTTGGTGAAATAGGGATATGGTAAGGGTTTTTAATATCTGAAGATACGGGACTTGAACAGTTATTTGTTGGGTACATATTCAATACTGAATATGATGCAAAATATTCGATATTTGGGAATAAATTCCGGGTTCAAATCATGTTGCGTACGAATATTACGCACATATAGAGATGTACATGATTTTTAAGTGAGACTAGTAATTCGCCAATGATCTTTGTCTTCAAACGCATGTGTGAGAACTTGTGTATAAGTGTGATATTACGTGTATGGTGGTATGCGTGCGCATGTGTTCCTCATGTACTAATTGAGAAAATAATCAATAAGCACCTATTCAGACAGTAGACAGGCTTGAAAGATGGGCCATCTTCACATGACATCAGGCCCATCAGGACAAAACCTCCTTCTGGCGTCTATCGCCCTGCTGGCCTGCTGCTTGTGTGGCATGTTTTTTTTTTTTTTTGCTAGGCCGCTGGCTACTGTTCGTGCACTGGTAGCTGCTACGGTGCTAGAAAAAAGTACACCGAAGGTCCCTCAACTTGTGATCGAGTTAGAAAATCGTTCTCGAATCGTAAAACCGGATACATCGCATCCCTCAGTTTATAAAATCAGTGCAAATTAGGTCTCTCGATGGTTTTGACTCCAGTTTTGTCCAATGTGACAGCTGACTCAGCGTAGGACCCACGTGGGTCCCACATGTCAGCCTCTTCTTCTCCTTCCCTCTCCACCTCTCTACATCTCTCCTCTTCTTTTCTCTCACTGGCAACGCAGCCGGCGGGTGGGGAGGAGGCCGATGGGGGAGGCGGGAGTCCGACGGCGCGGCGACGACGGGTGACGCGGCGGCAGCGGCAACGACGCGGGAGCAGGAGGGCCTCCACCCACGCCGCCACCACCGTTGTCGCCGACCGCGCGGGCTCCAGATCCCGCCGCCATGGCTCCTCGATCTGGTCCGTCTCGCTGCCATGGACCGCCGCCCGTGGTGACGGGATTTAGCGCCCGCACCGTCGGCGGCGGTGTGGGGGAAGGCCCTCCTGCTCCCGCGTTTTCGTCACCGCCGGACTCCCACCTCCCCCACCGGCCTCCTCCCCACCCGTCGGCTGTGCTGCTAGTGAGAGAAAAGAATAGTAGAGAGGAAGAGAGCCAGAGAGGGGAGGGGAAGAAGAGGCTGACATGTGGGACCCACGCTGAGTCAGCTTCCACATCGTACAAAACCGGAGTTAAAAACCACCGAGGGACCTAATATACACTGATTTTGTAAGTTGAAAAATGCATTGTATCTGGTTTTACGATTCGAGGACGATTTTATAACTCGATGACAAGTTGAGAGACCCTCGGTGTACTTTTTTCTAAAGTAGATGCTACGGTGCTACTTTACCGTTGCTATTGTTTTCGTTGCTGGTTGGTGGCTGCTGTTACTGCTGCTGTTGCTTTTTTCTTTTTTTCTCAGATATCTCCAATGATTAATGATTAATCATTAATGGTTTCAGTACGTTTAGGGATCTGACTGTTACGCACCCATACCATTTCTAACATATGATATATTCATGGGTGCATCAGTTGCAGTGAATCTAAATCTGTTTTTCCTTTAGAAAAAAACATTGGTTTGATTTGGTTTGCGGTCTAAATAGGCCTTACTAAATTTTGGCAAGTTTTAGCATGATTAATTTTGATAAGGCAAAGTTGTATTTGGATTGAAGCCAAAATAGCCTAAGTTCACTATTGAAATGGCCTATTTTCTTAGGCATGCTAAAATTTAGCTTCAAACCAAATAGACATTAAACACTATTGAAATTGTTAAATATTGGTAAGCCTAATTAGGTCTCAAACCAAACCAGCCCAGTGTAACATATAGCATGATCGTTTTGAGAGAACACATGCCATTTCCATCCTTAAAATGGTTTATTATCTGACTCATACAACATGTGCTGCCAAGTGTCAACAACGCCTCCACAATTCCACACACATGGAAGACGGGAAATCCCTCGTGGGGAACAGGTTTGACCGACCTTTCAACCGATCGACGCTACCGCACCGCACGGGCCCCGCCCCCGCCCCCGCGCCTCAGTTTTTCTCTCACCCACGCGACGGCTCGCGACGCAGCCGTTTCCGCTACAAAAACGATGCGAAAACGCTGCAAAAAACCCCAGATTTTCCCGCACGCCGCGCCCCCGGCCCACCACCACCACCCAACCCCACCGCGCGCGCGCTCTCCACAGAAAATAATCTCCGCCGCCGCCGCTGCTGCTGCTGCTGCCTCCGCTTCCGCCTCGCGCCTTCTCCTTCACCACCACCACCCACGAGTTCCACACGGAGGTCAGGAGGTGACTGATTCCTTGGCGGCTTCCTCCTCCCGCGAGCTGTGAAAATTTTGTAACTACTACGTACTGGTCGCTCGTCGGAGCAGTAGTGGTTGTGGTGGTAGCAGTGGCATGGCCTCCTCGCTGGCGTCCGCCTCGTGGGTGGTGCTGCCGCCGGTGCAGGCTCGGGTTGCTGCGGCGGTGGCGGTGGGGCCGACATGCCGCGTGCTGCTAGCCTACACGCCGCTGCTGTCCGGGTCGGCGCGGCGGCGGGTGGTGGGGCGGCCTCTCGCGCCGCCGCGGTGCTCGGCGCTCGAGGATCCCGGCCCCAGCGACGGCGGGGAGGGGAACGGCAGGGTGGTGGAGGAGGGGGAGGAGGAGGTGGTGAGGAGGAAGGAGCAGCCTCGCCGGCGGCAGCGGCGGCGGCCGGTGTGGAGACGGATCTTGTTCGCCTCCAAGAAGACCCGCAGCATCATCATCCTCAATGCCCTCACTGTCATCTACGGTATGCTATGCACGTTGAATCTTTGATCTCTTCTTGATGCCACTCACTGATGCGAATCCATACAAATTCACGACTACTACTGAACAATTCTCTCCATCTCACCATTTGGGATGATACGCAGCGAGTGATATTCCGGTTCTGAAGGAGGTTGAAGCCCTGACGGATCCTGCAGTCTTCAACATGGTGCGGTTCGTGGTCTCAGCCATTCCCTTCATCCCGTTTGCGATCCGAGCAATCGGAGATCGCCATGTACGGAATTCAGGCTTGGAGCTGGGGCTGTGGGTTAGTTTAGCTTACCTTTGTCAAGCAATAGGATTGATCTCGTCTGATGCTGGCCGAGCATCCTTCCTTACGGCCTTCACGGTATGCTGTTTTCGCTCGCTAATTTGGTTTTCGCTGTAATGATGGATTTGTTTTTGGATTGGAAAAAGAAAATGAATAGATGATCTGATGAGTTTTGTGAGCAGGTGATAGTCGTGCCTCTAATTGATGGCATCTTTGGCGCCACGATCCCCAAGCTGACTTGGTTTGGTGCAATAGTATCACTGCTCGGAATTGGCCTGCTGGAGTGTGGCGGTTCTCCTCCCTGCGTAAGTAGCATCGCAAATTCACAATTTCCACTTTGGTAATTGGCACTGGACATCATATTAAACATTTCTAATTTTTCAATTTTCCACTTGCTGCTGCTATCAATAGTCTTACCCTCAGTGAATCTTCTTGTAGTCACAATGATCAAATGATCAACTTACTTATAGAGTTGTAGGAGACTAAATTTTCTTAAAAAATAAGAGAGCACTTATATTCTGTATGAATTTTGTGATGTGCATACAAATTGTTTATTATTTGACTTGATATGATATGTATTTTTGTTTTCACATGGTCCCCTCTTGTTTTTTCTAAAAGGTTGGAGACGTGCTGAACTTCTTAGCCGCGGTGTTCTTTGGGATCCATATGCTTAGAACAGAGCAAATCTCAAGAAGTACGGATAAGAAGAAGTTTTTAGCTCTCCTTAGCTTTGAGGTTGGCAAGCTGAATCTGTATCTCAGTACCTGCACTACCGCAGCATCCCATATCCATCATACCGTTCTTATCACCTTACTATATGGGAGAATAACTTTACTAATCCTTTGATCAGGTCCTTGTTGTGGCTTTCTCTTCTGTGCTCTGGTTTTTGTTCAAAGATAGCTATGTCGATGTCAATGATACCAGCTTTGAATCATGGACATTTGGTATGTTTTTGGACACGGCAACTTCATTTCCTTGGATACCAGCATTGTACACCGGAGTTTTCTCGACGGTGTTATGCATGTGGGCAGAGGTTTGTCTACCTACTTATTATTATAGCTTAATGGCTTTAAATAAGTGGCTTTATTTTATGAATCCATCTGAATCTATATGCATCTCTTGGTACAGATGGTAGCGATGGGTGACGTTTCAGCAACTGAAACCGCAATTGTTTACGGGCTTGAGCCAGTTTGGGGAGCTGCATTTGCTTGGTTTCTCCTAGGTGAAAGATGGGATAATGCTGCATGGGTTGGTGCCGCTCTTGTATTATGTAAGTGCTGCTTGTTTTGCTTTGCCCTTTACATTTGCACTATAACATTCAGACATGCAATACCTTGATCCAAAATTGGCGTTTGCCTTGTTTGATGTCTAATCTTACAGGCAGATTACATTAACGATTAACCTGAATGTAAATAGTTCATCAATCTCCACGCCAAAAAAAAGAAGTTCATCAATCTAACCAGGTTCATTCTTATCACCCTTCTCGTCAGGTGGCAGCTTAACTGTTCAATTATTTGGGTCAGCTCCTGAAAAATCCAAGAAAGTTAAGACGCGCAGTTGCAATACCTTAGAAACCCCGCTGAAACGACAGGATTACCTCTCGTTGTCTGCTATCCCAGTCGATTCAAGGAAGAATATAGGAAGCCGATTAGAGAGGTAATTCTTGTATCTTGGCTGTTAAATTATGTCACCTCTCTCTCCTCTTCTGCTGTTATAGTCTTTTGTCTTACTTAGCTCATATTACTTACTGTACTCAATTCTTAACGGTAGGAAGGACAAAACGTTGTAGTCCAACGCCAAGGCAAAAAAGGCATCATCTGAAGAAGACAAATAGAGAGAGGAAGACGCTAAAGTTGATGCAGAAAGCTTCCTACTCCCATACGTGCATTTGCCTTTTGGGGCATCGTCTGTAATATAGGAAGATGCCTCATACATATTAAAAATGAGGCATCACTGACTGGGTTTGGGGTTTGGGGACAAGGAGATCAAGGTAGATTAGCGGCACGCTTGTAAATTATGGGGGGTAAACACTGTAGTGTTGGTAGACAAATAGATATGCATGTATACACAATTAGCAGATTATTGTGTACAGACAATCATACCTTTGATGGGACATCTTACTCCCATGAAATCATAGACATGTTGCTATGAAATCGGACATTAGTCCACTTTCAGAGATAGCATGTCAAGCGGGCAGTTTTCATCTTGGTCTGGCCCTCGGAAGCATAAGCAAGATGTGAAGTGGATTTTCTCATGCCGAGAAACATTAAGTATGAAACAGCTACTAGTGGATTTTCTCATGCAGTGTGAACGTCAAAGTATAAAGCAATTACAAGGTTGCGCAGCAAAATAGGGTTTGTTTGGTTTGCTTCCATTCTCAAGCATACCAAAATTTTGGCAAGGGCAATATAATTTGGTTATTATTTTTTGGTTTGTTGCCAAAAAATTGGAATGCTAACACATTGGCTATAAGCCCAATCAAACACAATATTCTGGAGCCGTACACCCGTATCTCACAAATAGTCCCAAATGAACACAGATACTACTGGTCAGAGAATGGATTAGCACACAAGCTTGATGATATTGCTTGAAAAACATAATTCAAAGAACAAACAGGAATGCACCAAAGTAAAAGGCAAGCCACAATCTCACCAACTTGAGGCACCGGCGGCAATTACCAGGGCCAAAAAAAAACAGCAGCGGGATCAGTGGGAATCCAAAGTTATACAAAATTACACATGGTCTAGGACCTCCTCCATTGAACAAAATTAAATACAACATCAGTGACGAGATTAAAAAAATTGCAGTCGCACTAATAAATCAAAATTAGATGGCTGCAGAGAATACCTCTGAAGTTTACTTACAGCATTGGATTTTTCTCAGACTTCATTAAATACAATAGTATCTCTAAAACTAAATAACCTAGCAGAGGGGGAAAACATGGGGAAAGAAAAGAAATGCGAAAAGCAGAACAACACATACTACACATTTTTAACACTGATTTGATCTTCTTCTTTTTTTTTTTGCCTACACACCACCATTTAAGTCTTAAAATGTGTCCTTTCATCTCAAAATCCAAAAAGTGAAGACTGCACAAAACAATGAGCAAAATTCTTCTACACAGAATCCAAGTCTAAACCTTTCCTTTCCTTTTAGCATCTAATGCCTGCATTAGATTCAACCTGTCATGAGACTAAATAAGGGTTTAACATACAGCCACATATCTGAAAAGATGCACTATTTAGGAGATACCTTACTCTGGAAAGTTCTCAAGACCAATACGATTAGATCACGTAACCTACAGAAGTAGGATTGTATCAGAAGTGTGAATTTTATTCCCATCATCAACCAAAAAAATGCACTAAGGAGGCAAGTAACAGAGGAGTTAAGGAGGCAGTTGGCACCTAACATCGCTATCCTCGTTATTTGGTTCTGATATTCCCTGTGTGTTAAATGGTATATTTACACCTCCAGAACTAACTAAAACAAATTGAGTAGTGCGTCCATTCGGAATTTTTGTCTGCCAAAACATGAAGCATAGCAAAATCAAACAAAAACATATCACGTGAATCAAAATAGCCAATATGCTTGAGCATTTATAAATTAACACAAAAAAGATCAATAAATACACAAGAGAACATACCTGTAGATTTGATGAATATTTCTCTTCGGTTAGAACTTCATCCTTGACCTTAATATGGTACCCAGTTCGTTTAAGCGTCAAGATGGCTAGTTCCCACTCATCAGAAGAATATCCCTGCGTCGCAAACAAAACGGTGCAAATCAGCCTCCATTCTGGGGTATTCTGGCATAAGTAAAACTCTGCACAACATAGTGGAAATGGTAACAATACGGCATCTTGAAGAAGAAACAATCGAAACATGTTTTCTGATCATGGGGCAGTATACTTACTACCCCCGCCCCAAGATATAACAACTTTTAGCTATATATACAAGTGTTTCTCCAGATGCATAGCTAAAAGTTGCTATATTTTAGGATGGAGGTAATAGTAAAGATAAAGATTGATGGTAAGTAGATATTTTAAACACTAAAACACATACCAGCACAAGAAGATTAAAGTGAGCTCTCCCATTCGATATATGCATATCAATAGTGTTCTGCATCTCCGGATCTGCAGAAACATGAATAGTTTTAGGAAACCTATAAAATGTGGCAATAGTACCATGTAGTTACTTATGGTGGCTTAAGAACTGATTGTATAGATTATGCTTACTTAGGGACCAAAGAAACAAAAACTCTTGTTAGTTATGGAAAGCTTATTCATTTTCAGGTAAATTATTCATGATGTCTGTATCCAATGGTTCTAGTGATGGGTCAGCAAATAGAGTTATCATATCCTAGTTCTTTCAGCCATAGTCATTAGAACTGGATTGGATCAGCAGTTGTGTGTGATGGCTTTGCTTTGAAGACCATTTATGAACTTTGACCTAAAAATAAGGCGAATCAGTGGTTTTATAAGGACGCCGGTGCATCTGACAGTCAATGACCGATCAGTTGAGAAATTTCTATTTACATGGTGTGGCCAAGACTTGGGCTGAACTGATCAGCAGGTCTGAGTGATCGTGTGTGGAGCCATCGCTCCAGACTTTCATTAAATCCTACATCTTCCCCTATCAATCTCACACAATCTTTCTATCTATCCTGTTTCTTCTTCCAATGAATATGAGTTCCATATTAGGCAAAGCAACATTGTTCTGTGCTTGATCCATGGTTTCATTATGCTGGAAAAGTCTTGGAGGCGTGGTACATCACAGCGGGTGGAGCATTTGTCAGCAAAGTCTACAGTGAGTCGGAAGTGAACGCATGCACATATTATCCTTTTGGAGCTTGGACCCAAGAATGAGACTTATCTAGGTTAACTGTTGTTCTTCGTCCTTCACCTCATAGCTACTCCACTACAAAGCTGCAAGGCCCCTGGATCTATTATCCTGGTACAACTAATATGTTTACCTAAGAGCAAGTAATGCCTTGAGTATAAGAGTAAAATTGCCTTGAGTAAAAAATAAGAGCAAGTAATGCTTTGAGTTAAAAATAAGAGCAAGGCACAACAGATAGGTTTTCATAAATTTCATGTGTCGTAATTTTACATTTTAAGCTCTATGAATTGGGTACTTCTTCCACCACAGTACCACACAATACGATTTCAGAGAAAATAATATCCACATACTAAAATTTTAAGACCAGACGTTTGACCAGTGGACTGAGTGCTGGGCCAGCAATCTACAGTCAGGTTTCAATAAGCAGAATACAATTTCAGAGGAAAAAAAGGTAATATCCACATGCTAAAATTTTAGTATATAAATTGGCCGTTCAACGGGTGAACTGAGGGCTGAGCCAGCAATCTCCAGTCCAGTGTCAATAAGTATGGTTACTGCTGTAAGCAAACAAGTTTTTTTTTTCCACAAACTGTGCTTGAAACAATGATACAACCATTTATGTTTTTACAAATAAAGTCCTGAAAATAAAATGAGCAATGCAAAAAGAAATCCAGATGTTTTCTACATTAAAATGTTGTTTTTGCTACAATATGACAAGCCTTACATCAAGAAAGTTAACTCAAAGAAGGTAAATATGCCCCAAAAAATTATATTTCCACTATGGTCAAATTTTAATTAAATAATGTCAAAGGTTAATCAGTGAAACCTACAAAATCATAAAGATTCAACTTGTGAAGGTGAAAACTTGCCCTTTTACCAACAGGATGCCTTTGTCTACTTTGTATTAAAATATAACCATTATTTAATAAATTTTAAAAAATGTGCCACTGAAAGTATAACAATTCCCATATGTTGATAAACAAAATTGAAGCAGGGACTGGCAATATAATAATCCATTCAATCAATGGTCCAAAAAGCCAGCAACGCATGCATCATAAACTCACCGCAAGTTATCTTGCTCCCGTTGTTAGCATACTCTGTAACCAATTCACCCTACAATGAAGAAGAGCAACTCATCAAATTGACATGCATAGTTTCTAGGTGTAATTACTGCCATAGTAAAATAACCATGTGTCAATGGTGTGGATAATTCTGTTTAGAAGTTCAAGCCCATGAATTAACAACAGATTTCAAGCACACTCATATTATCAGTGCACAAGCACGTCTTTGCTCAAAAAGGAAAGCCGATGTGCCAACCTTTATGTACACTTATTGCATATCAGATATATCTAAAAACGAATACCAACAAATACACAAAGGGACAGTTATTTATGACTCAGTTTTTTTTCTGGCTGATGCAATAAAGAAATAGCATCCAAAAATGGGTTGTACTCTGTAAACTACCCAATTGATGCAGTAAAGGATGGAAAAGATACAACAGAACAAGATCAGCCTATCAGAATGCCAAGAAGATTCCAATACCCAAAATAATAATGCAAACCATATAGTTAACAAGTAGTTGAAGAGCCAAAATGGATGTAAGCCTCTAGAGAATACCAATAATGAGAAGCCACCGAAAGCCTCACAAAAAATTGAGGATGGCACACTCCCAGTAAAAGAACACATTCAGACTAAAGCAATTAATGGGGTTAATATGCAATACCATGTACAGGACACAGGACCAAAATTTGAACAGCTAGGCACAGAAAAAAGTTTTAACCCCCTCTGAACGAGAGATGGCTCCCAAGTCAGTTGATGGATTTCCTTCCCTGGGATCACAGCTTTACGTCTAAAAGTTTACACTCCCTCCAGTTAGCAAAGAGATAAGTTCCAAAATGCATGTTGCCAAACTCTTTAGACTTAGCCACTATGCTATGATTGACCACATGAAATAACCGCATTGCACTGCAGTTTACAGCAGATAAGTGAATAACCTGACGGGTATTATCATCCATAGGCGTGCAGTCTACAGCCAGAAGAGTGTCAACATCATCAGCAGTAACAACGTAGTCATACATCGTAGCACCTGAATTGCAAAATATAGAGAGCTAATCAATACAATCAAATTATTTCTAAGCAGCAACAAATAGAATGAGCAATAATCTCTTATTTACCTTCAATAGACTGCCTGGTGCCATTATCAAGATATCTAACCCACTAAAACAACAACGTTTCGTAATGAGAGGTTTTATTTGCAGAAGTTAACAATTAATAGAGAAGATAAGTAATTGCAATCTGGAATCAGAACTCAGAACACAACACACCTGGAAATTACAAAGGGTGGTACCATTGGTAGGGAAACCACATGCTGTTAATGTAAATCCTGGTCTAGGCTCCCCAACAATTTGAAACCCCTCAATACCAGGCAAAGGATCATCTAGATAATAAATACAAAAAATTCAATAGATATGATGTGGAATATTTTCTAGTTACTTGATTTGCTCTTTATTTACCATCAGCTGAATACTCTTGATTATCCTGCCTATAAAACTGTGAGTCGTCTAATCTTACTTCTCTAGGACCATTATTTTCTTCAAAATAATTAGAGGGGGTAGCAGCTACTATTTCCCTGAAAGGAAGGCCAGTTAAACATCAGATGAAGGATCTTTTCACTCAGATGACAGATTAATTGGACAGCCAATAACTGTAATTCGTAAAAGAATCTCTGAAACAAAACTTTGGCATACTGATGATAATTGGATCCATGGTACATCTGTCCAGTATTTCGGTCATTTGGATCTTGAGCATACTGATGAAAATTGTTCCTAGTTGCATCCTGCAGATATGATCAGGTCATGCATGGTGCTACATTATTACACAAGCTAGCTAGAGGGCCATGTATTCTATACCGTATTGTAAGATGAGGAAGGTTCATGCCTCAACGGCGTTGCTTGTTGATGATTGGGATTATTATATATGTGTCCAGGTTGAGTTATCTCACCTAAACTGTCCTGAATCAGTAAAATAAACTGAGTGTCTAAAACAAATCTTTTGAAATATCAATTCATTAGCGACAGTATCTTACAATATAACATGTAAAATGGCTGGTGTAACATGCAAACATGCAGAGGGCATGATCAACTATATGATATTCAAGCTATTCAATTGACATTTGACCTTCCATAAGCAAATATTCGAAACTGTCATAATTGTGCTGTGAGCTTGTGCCCTTCTGCACCAAGTTGAAATGGCATTGCTTTGACGTAACTCTAAAACAAGTGAAATTGTGTATGAATCTATCACTCTTGGGGCATGCATATTCATCACTCATTTTAAAGAACAACGAAACAATTATCATTGTTCAATCACCCCATCTAAAACTGATTATATGATCAAACCAGCCAATTTTACAAGAACAAGGGACCATTCCTTGTATGTGGCCTAGCTGCCTACTACAGCTGATTAAAACAGGGTGCGTACAATGTCAATGAGCAGCCATGCCAACAGATATACAAAATCCACCTGCACCAATGTCTCCAGCACATAAATAATAAAGTCCAACAGCACCCCATATCTCATTGTATTGGATTACTTGCATGCAAGATATTATTTTTCCATTAAAAAGTAAAAGCAAGTGTGAACATATTTTACATGAATTTTCCACCACAAACACACACTCATGCACAGCCAACAAGGCAACAACATGCTTATCCTGATTGGACACAGGAATTTCAGAGATGTTGAATAACAGCATGAAAGTTTCATATCTCTATTTTTTGCGGTCGATATTTACTTCTAGAAACAACATTAACTGGGCTGCAGTCACCCAAAATATGAGCCTCTATGATTACTTTCATCCAAACACACTGTCATCATGTGATCATTTTTAAGTCACAGAATCCTGGCAGATGCCCTGATGACCACCCATAAAAGCAAACAGAGAGTGCAGCATTCAATACTTTCAATATCTAGAGTTCACATAACTATGGTCACTTACATTTAAATATTTGATCTTCCATTGCATTTGGTGGTACAAACGCTGAAAATTATGGCCAATAGAAATGTATTACTTCCTCATATCAGACAGGGCAAAAATATCAAAAAGAATTTACTAAATATGTCCGGTTTTAAATATTAATCTAGGTAAGTAAATGAACCAACTCCACCACCAGAGATTTCAAGAAAAGAATGCCAAAATAATTGACATGATAGCTATAGTAGCAAAAATAAGTAACATGTTAGTTTATTTTGCAGCTTTTTAAGCCTAAGTAAACTGCATAAACAGTTGGTTGCCCAAGCAACAAATATGCTAAGTGGAAACCATGTAATAATCTTATTGTAAACAACATAGAAGGCAACATATATTAGACTAATCTGTAGCTTATTGATAAGGAGTGACATAGTAACATTGTGCAGAGGTGGCTGTTAAGCAGAAGTTAAATCAGTAAGTCTTATTTCCCCTCACTTTCAGTCTTCATTATTGATTATACTTTATATTAGGCGGTTAGCAAAACATAGGTAAACAAATTGTGAGCTCATATACAACAGTCTATGGAAAAACTCACCACTATTACCATAAGAGCATCCAAAGGGTGTAAGTTGAGATAATACTATGATAAATATTCCCAGATTATGGACAATTCAACTGATAATGATCAAGAAAGAGTTACCTTTGTACCAGCTGTAATGGCTGAAGCATTTATTTGAGGTGGGCGAACATTGTATTCTGCTAACATACTAAGCAATGAAGAAGTGAAGAAGTATAGCTCTTCTTCCTCACCCTAGAAGAATAATCAAAAGTTAGTATCTAAATTGTTAAAAAGACAATGGCATGTAATGAACTTATAAAGTGGTTGGCAGTAACGAACAGAGGTTGAACAGCCAAATGCAAAACAGAAAACAAGGACAACAGCTGTATTAACTATAAGCATACCACCCTGAACTTTGTTCAGTAAACTGTTAATCATTCTTACACTAACAGCACATGTGGGCTCAGAACTAATGATGATCGCTATACTCACAGCAGTTGCCATTTCTTCTTAAAATTACAAGCTTTGGAGTAGCGTGCAACTGAAAAATCCCATGAATGAAGCAATGTGACTATAGGAGTTGAGTTCTAAAGAAAGTGAGGCATTTTTTTATGTTCCTAATATGACAGTACACAAGCAACCAACTGTAATATATCTGTAAATCTAATTCAACCTATTTGAGATTAATTTGAGCCTTTACAATCAAGGGCCAACGTCCACCAAAAGAAGCAACATAGATCTTCCGTCTTTTTGTGCTTAATGCAAGAATTTCTAGGCTCCTAGGGAGATTTCACAGTTATAATTTGGGACCATAAAACAACTTGACATCAACCTTTTTATTCATTTGACCAATCTAAGAATTTCGAGCCCCTCAAAGCAAATGTGGAAGCAACATTGTCTGTCAATTTGGAATTTCAGTAGCAAATATTTTGTCGTAGCATATTACAATTTAGACATAAATTTGGCATCACTGATATTCGTCTAAGCCAATTTATCATTGCGCATGAAACATATTCTATTAAATAAAAACATAATATATAAATAATCAACCTAAAGAAATAGTCTCTTTTTTTTTCAGTTTTGACAATCAAACAAAGATTTTTTTTTTTAATCTTGTGCCAACATTATTCTAATGTACAGTAGCGCCATACTTTCAGATCATTTGCTAGTCTCATATTTTCCTCGACATGGCCTTTTTTCTGGCTTAGTTGCTTCAAAGCACCAGATATAGCATCTTCCTGCTTCTCATCAACAGCCTACCACAGTAAGATTTGGGTTAATATGTCAATATAATGCCTCACAATTTGGCCATGCAGTAAAATGAAATTGAATCATTCATTCAGACCATTCTCAAGTCAAAAAGCTTCCTCTCCAGAATATGTTTTTCGCTCAGCAACTGTAGCTCCTACCAAGATAAGAAGTAACTGATATTGGAATTAAGCAGAAATGGTAGGAGAAAACGTTAAAAGTATTTGTGTGTAAAATAATTTTAAAAAGTCACACTGGCTAGCTCATACTTTTACAGAAGCATCTGCAATTTGCTTGCGAAGCAATAAGATCTCTTCCTCTTGTGACCGTGATCTGAAGTATAACCCCTGCAACAAAACAGCAAAGGGTCTTGGAAGGAAGAAAGCGGAGTACAAACTGAAAGAACCAGTTGCCAGTGCAATTCCTGCAGAGTTACCTTAGTTTCTGGATCCATCAAACGAGTAATAGAATCTTCTGCAGTCAAGTCATTCTGGAGGGATGCACCCTGGAGTTGATGCCTGTGAGCACAAGGTATAGACCCATTTCTCAATAAACAAAGAAGTGAGTACAGTCTACGAGTATGCCCACAATAGTTGTATTTCTCACAAGAATGAAGGACCTCACTAGAGTGTCGGTGTTTACAGCAAAGGTTGTAGCGTCACCATTTTGCAAACCATAGTCCCCAACAGACAACGGCATGTTAGTCCTGGTAAGCTCATTTCCAGCACGGTGATTCTCGTTATTGAAATCGACTGGGGCACTGAATGGATCACGCATGTTCTTCCTCTGTAGAAAGTAGGAGTATCAGCTGATCAAGCACATGGCAGCATAACAAAAACACAGCACATGGATTAATTCTACCTAGTTTGATCATTAATAATACTATAAGTTAGTACTTTAGGCCGATCGCTTGTGTTGCATTCGCTTATGTTCTACACAAGGATGAATCCAATCAAACTAATGGCAGCGTCCACGAACGGGTCAATCAAAGGAGATACATCACAACACACAATATCTCCCACCATTGGCGGACCTAACGTGGGTCGTGGGGCATATGCTGCTGATTCAGTTCAACCCCAAATTTCTTTTGGGGAAAAAAAACTGCTATTGTTACTAAGGTTAAGACAGAGAGAAACCTAGCTTCCACAGATCTAGAAGAGAAGATACGGTTAAGGCAAAAGCGAGAAGGTGTGGCTAGAACCGAGAGAAAGGAAGAGGCTGTTCATGGGCACGGGTGCTCACCGGAGGCGGAAGCAGCAGGGCGACGGGGTAGACGCGCGCGGGACGGATGGAGATCGGCGCAGGCGGCGGGCGGGCGGGAGGGCGAGAGGGCGAGGCGAGCTCGGGAGGAGACGGGAGCGGGGGAAGGCAGAGGGGGCGCGGGGGCGGGGGGGAGGAGGTCGACTTGGGCGCCGAGGGGTCACCGGCGAGAGAACACGCGGCGGAAGCAGCAGGACACGCCGGCTACGCGGGTCGCCGTGGTGGGGATCGCCGCGGCGGCGCCGCGCAGGCGGCGGGGAGGGTGGAGACGGGGGGTGGTGTCGAGGGAGAGGGAGGAGGCCAAGGGGACGCGGAGATCGAACGATCGATTCTTCCCCTTTGTGACAGCTGGTGGGCCGGGCCGGAAAGTTTAAACTGGGCCGGAAACATCCGATGCCAGACCCAACCGAACAGTACTCAGTTCAGGGGTCGTTGTTAGCTCAACTGCTCGACTAAGGGGTATTTGGGAACTAGGGACTAACTCTCACAAAAATATAAGAGACTAAAGTTTAGCCCCACTTTAATCCCTCCAACCAAACACCACCTAAATGCGCCGTTAAGCGCCTGGTAAAGTGGTCACTAGCCAGCGATAGGGAATATACTAGAATGGAGTCATTAGAGCAGGTCATTTTAGGCATTTTTGGAACTCGGGAATTTTAAGGAAATTTCAGGTCATTTCTCGCAAGAACCGAAGCAAAATTTTCATATCCCAAATGGGGCCAATCGCAATTCGCAGGTGCGAACCATGAAAAACACGTGACGCGAAGGCGCAGCGATTCAGATTTCAGCGCAAGAAATTCAGAAACATAAAGGAACGAGCAATAATCAATCAGTTGCAAGGCAAGGAAGCTGGAGATCGATGCCACACATGGGACTACGGAGATCGACGATGTTACGGGAGGAGCACGGGGCTTGCGTTTGAATAGATCTCCGCAAAGATTTTACCGAATTATGTAAGATGCAACTTGATTCTACAACTTGATTGCCCTCTTTATTTTTTTTTAGTTTAGTTTACTCCCTCTCGAGCATGCTGTTCCTAAACAAAAACAAAAAAGAAACGGAACGCGTTTGAAAAAAGTAGCGTGGTCCTCTTCTCCCTGTCGTCCCGGAAAGGCGATTCGTTGGGACAAGTGGATTTGGAAAATGCAGCAAATTTTGCCGGACTCCAACTCCAAGGAACGCATGTGACTGCAGCTCGTTACGTTTTTTTTTTGCTTGTGTGGTGGACACTGATGGTGTTACAATTCACAACTCAAAGATCAGAACCAAACGATGATTGGATAAAAAATCCATTTTGATTTGCCTCTGTTTGCAGGAGAAAATCTTGTATTAGTATCAACAAAAATAGGATTAATGGCACTTACTGTAGATAAACCGTACGAATATTTAGAACTTAGCTGCAATCACCATGGGCAAATACCATTCCCTTTCACATACTATAGTATAAAGTAGTAACATACAACATAACCGCCCAAAACCGACTACTCTCTCCGGCCCATAATACAACAACATAGGTCCGAACGGAACATTTTATATAGAACAAAAGATATTTCATAGATCCTATATTGTTATATTATGGTACAGATATAGTATTCATTAACATGAAGAAATTGTCAATTCCTTTTGCTTTCCAATGTCGGAGCTTTGAAAAGGGGTATAGCCTAATTAAAACTACCACCACACACTTCCATGTTTATAAGATGCCGCGTTTATTCTATATAACCAAGATAACCTTAAAGATGTTTTCACCTTAGACTATACAATGCGCAACTAGAACATGAATATCTAACTAACTCACATTGTCCTAAATCGTGTACATGATGGCCTCCCAAGTTGCATTAAACTGCTACAATGGAAATAAAAATCATTAGGCCATAACGTGGGTGATGAAAGGAGGATAAAGAAACAAACCTTTGCAACCCAGCTCAGCCAAGGGACTATTAAATCTTTATAAAATCCTAGCCATCCACATCAACCAGCTGATTAAAAACCATAGCCATTGCTTCTACAAGGAGCTAGCTATTTGGAGCGACGAGGGCAGCAGCAAGGGAGAGAGCGACATGCCACTTTTACAACTGGTCGTTAGGCAAGGTAGATAGACTCCTCCCCGGTCAGCTCCAGGCACCCATGGTGTTTTTCTCCTGACCAGATTTCCATATTTCTGTGACGAAGACGCCGATATATTGACAATGATGCGCAGCAGCGCATGGCCGGCGACAAGGAACGGGAATTCAATCTGTGTGCGTGCGGCCCACTGGATTAGTCGTTGCACACGTACGCATGTTCATGTGAGGGTTTAGCGAGTAGCGATCGATAAAGTGAGATGTATGGCGTGAACTGCCATGGAGGCATATCCGCATATGGAGAAAAATTTAGGGAGGGTTTCCTAATCTATTTATAAACGAACCGAGTATAAGATAATACAAGATTTTATATTGGTATAGTAGGAAAAAAAATAAAATTAAAACTCTAGATAGCTCTAACCACAAAAAACACACACTACCACATATCGAGGCTCTTACACAAACATGAGAAAAGAGACAGCACCAAGCCGGTTGTAGTGAACTCTCAAAGAGCACAAATGCATTGTCTTGCAACATTTTCAAGCATATAATTAACCACGCGCGAACTATCGATTATCCTCACATAGAAGTAGTTGTCGAGGAATTACCACTCTTTCCTCATGCTAACCCAACAGTAACTTTGAAGAGCATCGACGAAGCGCAAACTGATTGGAGGTGGTAAACCGGAACCTCTTATTCAACTCCTGGAAGCTCCACCCGTCGAAGAAATCCTAGACCTGATTTTCACCCAGAGACCCATCAAGAAAAAGTCTTTCTGAGTCTCGACAATGTCCTATGGAGGGATCATGATGCCTAGAGGTGTTGTTATTGTCGGCCTAGAAGACTCTTAGCTATGCTTTCACCCACAACCTCCCTTCCCTCGGCGTTGCTATCCGTCTCACGATCTCATCCCACCAAAGCAACCTCCGCTAACAAGCGTACACCGCCGTACCGACGGCCATCTACCGGCCAGCACCCGTTCGTCTCGGGACAGCACAACGGGTGGAGGGATTGGGTGGGTAGAGGCAAGGTTACCTAGTCACCCGGGGCTCTATTTCGATGCACCACCGGTTTTTTCTAATATATGAACAACATATACTTTTTTTAGATAATGGAATATAATATCATGGCCTTTGCTCAAAAGATTTACAACCAATTATTACAAAGTAGCATTTCAGAAAAGAGTGTAGTTTAGATAAAATAGAACACACCAAACAAAAATAAGAGGAAACCAAGCCAAAATAAGGAGAACATATTTATTCAAACCTATCTAAGAATCTCCATCTATAGAACAACATATACTCAATGGACAACGTATGTATGCTAGAACAAAAATGAATTGAGCCAAAAATTTCGTGTATACTCAATGGAGACACCAAACGATTACGTTTGAAGTTGGATTATTGGATACATACTCCATGCAATTATTCAATCGATCGACGGAAGGAGAGTGTGTCCAGTAAGGACACTTCTCCTGGAGCTGGAAAGCAGGAGTACACGTGCACATACACACATACTGGACGTACTCTGTTTTTACAGAGGATGATCAAATGCAATCCATTGTGGTGCCAACTTGACATCCAACATTTCTCACGCAACAGTGCAGGAGCAAAAAATTATTAAGCAACACGTACTACCAACAAATCTCACGTCCAGTTGCAATAAACAAGCACTCGCCGAGCTAACATCAACCGGCCGGCCGCCTGGCCGGCAAGGCGACGGCTGGTGCGTGCAGATACGGCTCGCGATGAGATTGGAGGCGGTCAACTTGGTGCAAGCGCCCTCAGCTGATTTTGATTGCTACATGTACAAAGCCACCTCAAATTTGTTTAACAACGTACTTAAACAAATCATCCCAGCTGACTTTGTTTAATCAGAGCGAAGCTCACGTCCCATGCTGGCATCAATTAATCATCAAACGTCCGTTTCAAAACCTACGCCTACGCTCAGCTCGATCGGTTATATACATCTCCTCTGGAATATGGGAGTTTATTTTATTTTCTAGTAGAACACACTAGGCTGACTTAATTTTCTTCGACTTCAAATGTAGATCGCCTCCGTAGCTTTTGCACATTTTTTTATACTTAAAATTAATATTGTCCCTCTCGCAACTAAATGTCTTGTCTTTTTCAATACCGAGTAAATCTGACAGATAACAAAGTCATTTGAGTTGTGAAGTCAGAGTGAGTTAGTAAAATTACTTTTCCTACTTTGAAATATGCATGGATTATCATTATACATATCGTTATAGATCTCGCTTGCTGTTCCTGAAAGTTAGCAAGTTTTCATCTGCAAGTGATCGATCTGCTACAATATCAAGTAAATAACTCATTTGGTCTCCTGATGAATCACTCAACACATCTGTAGTCTTCGTAACCGTAGAGTGCAATTTAAGGACCAACGCTTAGTCCTTAATTCTAATAGCGACCAGCACGTTTACTTGTCTAAATCATTCGGTGACAGTACTACAGGAGTGCCATGTGTACGTACGTAGTTAGGTTCAGAAATCCTATTGATGATGAAAGGGGAAGATTTGCTAGAGTAAAACAAAACAACATAAACCATACGTACATTTCTGGCGCTGCTCGTTATTAATTAGTTTCCCCGTATTTTGAAGAATCTCAGGGCCTATTGACTACTACTATTTAGGAACGGCGACTTCTACACAATTTAATTTGTTTTCCGGTGATCAACAGCCTGCAAGTTGCACAGGTCTGATAAACCGAAAGTTGCTGATATGTTTAGCTAGCCAAGCGTGTGGAATTTGTTAAATTGTGGCTGCTGTATCTGTCCTTCCTTGATTGGGGGAGTATCAACGAGCACCTAATCTAAACAAATGAGAATGGACCTGGGAGTTTAAAACATTATATGAATATATATGTTTAATGTTTTTAATATCCTCTTAACAATTATAGAGTTTCCATAAAGCAATTGTACTTGTTTGGTCCTGTTTGACACATAGGAAATTCTATTTTCATGACTTCTTTGAAATACGCATGGTCCGATTGACACAGCTCTAACTCACAACTCCAACTTATCTAGAGATAGAGTTGTGCCAAACAACATATATTCTTTATTTTTCGGAGCAGAGTTAGCATATTTGCTCCAAAAAATTGTACCACGAGGGTAGAGTTGTGTTTTTACTGCTCCACTCCATCCCAAAAGATCTGCTACCCTTTAGTTTTTTTTCTTTCATTTACGCAATATGCCACTGAACTACCCCTTCACACCCCTCTC